GCTTTTTTCAGTCATGCTTAGCTGTAGATGTTTGACTCTGAAATGCAGATGTCAACCAACACATTTCTGTTTCAGCTGAATGAACAGCTATGTTCACAGATATTATTTCTTCTCTCTATGACTCATTTACTTCATCTGTAAAGAGGAGTTTCATCCTCAGATGAAAGACTGACGATAATCTACTGACTTAATAAAAGAGCTATTCCAAATTCTCCACTGCCAGTGTGAACTTGCATAGGGTATTTGGACAAACACAGAATTTCAGAAGGCCTCCACTTAATGGATGCTGAATTTCTGTAAACATCCACGTGCCTTTGGGCTCATGGGCAGGAAACAGCCTTTGTGATGAAAATGGCACTATTTCTTCAATTCTGCAGAGTGATCCATCTTACTGGTTTGTATTTGTGTGGAGTGCTGTCCCACATTCCTCAGAATCACTGCTACTGCAGCAAGGTAGTTTACTTTCAAAATGTGGAACAACAGGAACTAGATTGTGTTGATGATGACATTATACTGATGGTTGGAGTTTAACAGCTAATGCTCTAATTTCAGTATAGGAAACACACTAAAAAAGCAGTAAGAGCTCCTCTTGATCTTCATAATTAATGAGAACTGCCATGATCCTTCAACATATTTCTACCCACACTTCCCTTTATGTTAAGAAATATACAGGAACTCACAGAAGTCAGCTGGTAGAAAGTCTTTTACAAAGCACTTCCCAGCACACTGCACAAGCCACGTGTGTTCCCCTAAAGGGTCCTGGAGCCAGACCTTGCCCATGCAGAATTCTGGGTTCCTGAATCCTGAATTCAACCTGAGACAGCTGAATCCAGCAGTCTCATTTCTTCCAGTGAAACAGAACAAAGTGAGGCCTTCAGACAAGAGTGTCCCCAGCACACACCTCTGAGCTGTGTGTACCCAAACAAGCTCCATCAGCTGTGCTGGGTGTTTCTGGAAGGGAGATGAGTGGGATTCACATCACTTAACTTTAAACACCTCATTTGGCTAGTTCTCAAATATCTCTTTAATTCATGGATGGAAGAGAGCATCATTAGAGAGCAATTCATCCCTTTTAGGTGCCTGCAGTACCATGAGGGGAATTCTACCCCAGTGCCTGTTCCTCTGCACTCATTATACAGAAAGCCTAGACAGCTGGCTTGGATATAAATGTCTGAGGATGAGAGGTTTCTCTCACCTATCTAGACACAACAGAATCTGCTGGATATTAGAGGCTCTGTGGTGGCTCTGGGTCAGATAACAAATGCCTGAAAATATGCCACCACTTGGCTGAATCATTGCAACCATGCAAGATCTTAATTTAAAGACTGTTTATAAGAAGTTTCTGAACTTTAGTCTTGGCCTGGCATGAGTAAGGCCTAAAGCAGCCACTGATCCTCAAGATAAGAAGGTCTTTCAGCAGCTCTGTAATCAAAGGAAAAAAACAGCTTGTCTTTAGATCACTGCTTTAATCTTGTTCCTCCCACCAATGCTGGAATTTTGTGTTCTGCCCCCAGATGCAGAAGGCTCTTTATAGTGTCAGCCTGAAGGAACAGTAGGACTTACACTGTCATTGCAGCTGCACCTTTGAGGTGCTGGAAATCACATAACTGAAAGCTGACAGTAATGAAGTTGTGCAATGCTTTCAAATATAGTTTCTGCCACCACTCAATTCCCACAGTTCATAGGCAGGGATTTGTAGGCCTGTGGTAGGGAAAAGAATGAAGGGATTTAACTCAAGCCCTTGTTGGCACCTGGGGTCTTGATGCCATCCCTTCATGTGGCCTTTATGTGAACTGTCATCCTTAAAAGGTTGTAGCCTTTGGGGAACAAGTGAAGGATTTGGGCATTAGGGTGGGTAACTTACTGGTATGTGACAAGTTGAGTGTCTCATCAGTTCTTTGCAGAGAGGTGCTTTATCTCTAATGCTGGTAAATAAAATGGAAAGGTACTTGAACATTTTGTCTGTGTCTATTTAAACAATGTAGATAACAGCAAAACACAAAATGTTTGCTCTTTTTGTTTCCCTAGATGCAGGCATGAGTATTCCCTTGGTTTTTACATTACATTGTCTGTGTAATGCTTCTGTCAGAGTAATTTAAAAGAAAACAGCAGTGAAGTTTTTTAGAGATCCCAACAGCTAATGCAAATACTTGTCAAATCCCAGAAATGGATCAGTCAAGTGGAGACAGTTTTGCCTATCTGTGAGAAGCCACTTTTCAAAACAAGATATATATCATATCACAGAAGACAAGAGGGTAGTAGAGAGTATTATCAGGCAAATGTGATAGCCCAGAGATGTCAGAGATTACATATCAGCTCTGTACACATAATGGTTTAATTAAAGTCATTATTCTGCTCACTTGTGTAAAATTAACAAGGCTAAAACTTACGTGTCTCCTGTGCTCTCCCGTGTCTGGGACATCAGTGAGGAGTTCTTTGCCTGCACATAAGCCCCTGTGAATAAAGAAATGGTTATTGGGAAATAGTAGTGTCTGTGGGATGATGGCATTTCAACATTTGTAGTCACCCTGAAGCTTTGTGACAAGCAGGTGCAACAAAAGCTGAGGGACAGCTTTGTGGGAGAGCACTTGATAGAAGACACAAATTCAAATCTACAGGCACTTCAGCCACATCACTGCCAGAGCTCTGTCCCTGCATGATCTTTCTTGCTCTCCCTGGAAATTCCCTAGAGAAAGTTTAGCAGAGAGGCAGATTTGTCAAAATGATTCAAGGGAATGACTGTAAGAGCTGTGAACTTTTTTCTAGCTTCATCGTATTGAAGGCAGTGGGCTTGATTCTCCCCCCAGAGCTGCTGTGGGAACCACGTACCTTTTGCAGGCAAAATATAACCCCAGACCTGCTGACCTTCTTTGTCATGTAGAACAGGGCTGTAATTTAAACATTTATGTGGAAGTCATTTGTACTGAGAACAAGTTACTGTACATAAAATTGAGCATAAAATTGTACAATTGATCAAAAATGAGGTTTAACTTCTAAGCAATTCTTGATTTGAAATCCTACCCTGAAGCACCTGAAAATATTAAAGAGGATTTTTTTTTTTCTGAACTTTAAATTTATACTCCTCCTTACCAAATGCATGTCTGCACATAATGCTTCTTGTTAGTGTCACAGAGGGAGGTCACCATCATTGCTCTACCACCACTTGAATAAGGAAAGAGACTTGGACCTAAGGACAGGGACTGACTGAGCTGGCAAATCAGGGGTGGAGCTGGATGGAGAAGTGAGAAGTCCTGTTGGAGCCCAAGCCTGATTCAATAGGCACCTTCTCATCTCACTTTTCTCCTGGCACCATACTGTCTCCCTAGGCAACTATAGATTGGAGAGGAGACAAAAATTCTTGTATACAGACTGCAAAGCAATGACTTGAGCTTGGATGTAGGAAAATGTCAGGGAATTACAGCTAACTAGCAGTTGAAGCAGAGGCGTTGAAGTCAGGTGCTTCAGGTTCTATTTTTGGCTTGGACCAGCCATTTCACTTCTTACTTTGGCTTCCTCTCTGCAAGATGAAAAATGAGGATGTCTGCAGCTGCCTCCTGGGACTGGATCATCTTGCTAAAGCCAGGACTGTCAAATCTCATATTCTGGGTGATGCCCAGTTGACCTCAGTTCCATTCTTCTCTGCTTTGGTGCCTGCACCTCCTTCATTTCTATCTCTGCTTTTTTTGGCTCCTGCAGGCAAAACAGAGCAGCGTCACAGCAGCAAATCTGGGGATTGCTGCTGGGTGGGAGCCTCCTCTGTTTCTGCATACCCTGGGGCCTTCCACCCCAGCATCTGATGTGCAAAATATCCTGGGCTGCCCCTTGGGTAATGTGGGTGTCTGTAGAGGTAATGAAGTACACTGAGTAGAGTTATGACCCTTGTGCAAAGCACTAATTTAGACACTCCTGTCTAAATTAGGGAGGCAGTTGCAGGGCACAGGTGCTGGAACATGTACAGAGAAAGGCAGCAGAGCTGCAAAGGGTCTGGCATGGAAGTCTGATGAGGAGTGGCTGAGGGAGCTGGGGTGCTCCTTTTCCTGGAGAAAAGGGGGCTCAGTGGGGCCCTTCTCACTCCCCACAACTCGCTGACAGGAAGGTGCAGCCAGGTGGGGTCAGGCTCTGCTCCCAGGGAACAAGAGAAAACAGCCTCTAGTAGCACCAGGGGAGGTTTGGATTGGATATTGTGGAAAATTTCCTGATCAAAAGGGTTGTCCAGCCCTGGCACAGGCTGCCTAGGGCAGTGGTGGAGTCACAATCCCTGGAGGGATTTAACAGATGTGCAGAATTAGCACCTGGGGACACGGAGCAGCGGTGGCCTTGTCAGTGCTGGGGGAGTGGTTGGACTCCGTGAGCTTAAAGGGGTTTTCCAGTCTGAAGGATTGCATGGCCCCGCTCGTTGTATCTCCGTGCATGTCAGCCCAGGCACGGCTCCGGGAGGGAGCAGCAGGACGTGGTGAAGGCCAAGGGATGGTCAGCACCTCAGCCTGGCCGTCCTTGCTTTGAATCAACGCGTTCCCGAGGCTGCAGGTGTGTTCTCTTTGCTGCGTTCCCCGTTAAATTCTGGCTAATTAGGGGTCTCTCCTTTTTTTATACGGGAAGCACCGCCAGCTCTTCCTGCCCTTCCCTTCTCGTATCAATCAAAATCGCTACCACCAAAATCCAGGTGTGCCTGGAGAGCTCTTCCTTCCCAGAGCCGCGGGGAGGGAGGCGGCGGCTCCAGCGAGCAAAAGGCGATTTTACGATTATTTCGGATTTTAGGGCAGCGGCGCTCGGGGCTGCGGGCAGCCAGGAGGAGCCTCGGCGCCGCCTTTCCACCCTTCCACCCCATTCCGGGAGGCGCCAGGGCCCGGCAACCAGCAGGATTTCGGCGCGGGGCGGCCCCGGACCGGCCCCTTTGTTCGCGTGGGCCCGGCCGTGAGCCGGGAGCGGCAGCGAGCGGGGAGCCGGCCCCGCATCCTCCTCCGCCCCCGCCGCCCGAGCCGCCGCCCAGATCCCTCCTCCGGCTCCCGGCTCGGCCGCGCAGGGAGTGGCAGGGCGGCTGCCGGCCGGGCTGGATCCTGCGGGGCACCGAGCCCCCTGCCCCGCTCCGCGGGCAGCCCAGGGTAAGGGGGACAGCGGGCAGCGCCCGGCCAGCCGCGGCACAACAAAGGAGGGAGGGATGGAGGGATGGAGAGGGTGCGGAGGAGCTCGGGCAGCGGGGATGCGCCGCTCGGAACCGATGGGCGGCATTGTCCTTGGGCTGGGAAAGGCACCGGGCATCCCGTGCGGCTTCGCCGGCACCGCGGGCGGCGGAGGGCTCCGGGCGGGCGCGGCCTGCGGGGGCGCGCACCCCCGAGAGCTCCGGGCGGGCGCGGGTGCGCGCTCCCCGCGCCTGGGTCACGGCAAAGGCGCGCCCGGAGCGGCCCGGTGCCATGGAGACGGAGGTGGGAGGGGGTGTCAGCATCCGTGCCTCGGTGCCCAGCGAGTTTTGGGTTCGGAATGGGAGGAAATTTGTCTTTTGTCTTTGGGAGGCTTGAGTGCTTGCCGGGCTCAGTGTACTCGCTCGGTTTTTCTTATTTAACGATTCAGATATTGACATGAACCACATCCTGCAGGATCTGATGTGGGGTTTTTGTCTGGTGCGAGATGTGCTTCTGAGGAAGGCCCAGGCTGAGCTGCTGACATTGGCATGAGCAGCCAGGCAGAGGCAGGAGGGCTCTGCCCCTGGCATCTCCTGACCTGAAACAGCAAAGGGTGTTTGGGGCAGCGTCCAGGGATGGAGGCAGAGGCAGGAGTTGTTATCTCCACAGCATCCAGAGAGGCTGCAGCGGCGTTTTGGAAGCGCTGGGAGACAAAGCACTGTGTCAGCACCGAGTGTTATTTGCTGCTCTGCTGAGCATCATTCTCACAGGCCTACAAACCTTGTCTCAGAAACTCATCCTGCTGGAATGGATGTCAAGTTTCACCCGTCCATCCATTACTGATGGCTAGAAGTGTTTCCTTGAGGGTGACTTGCAACTCAAGAACTGGTCTGCACATGGACAGAGATATATTTGGGGTGCCTGGCTAGGCTTGTTGGCCTTAGCCTCTGCCCAGCTGCCTGGTAAGAGCATTCCTCTCCCCATCAGTGCTCCGAGAGAGCCCCGGTAATCAGCACGGGTCTGTCATTGCTGGTGTGGCGATGCCTTTGAACGTAGTGCAGCTCCTGGTCTTACAGCTGCTGTGAGATACAGCATTTTAAGAAATTACCTGCCTGCTGTTAGAGCCTGCCAGGGATTAGGAAGGAGGGAGTCTGCATCAAACAGCTGTGTTCTCATGAAAGTTGTCACTGCCTACCAGAAATCTCTGGGAGTACAGGACTTCAAAGGCTCAGCTCCGAGACGTGGCACAAGTGACAACGTTAGCAGCAGCCACTGCAGCACAGCAGGGAGAGGCTGTGCTGGAGCCTGTCTGTCATCTCAGGAACAGAGATGTGGGGCTGCCTTCAGTTAAGGGAGACCTCATGTGTTTTCTCAGGAGATGCTCTTAGAATCAGTGTGGATGGGATTATAGGCCAAGGTTGGTGTGGGCTCCTCGAGCCTTGGAGGCTGCCATAATCTGTCTAGCAAGGAGCAGTTCCTGCTGTGTTTCCTCTTCATCCCCACCTGTGCTTTTTGGTTTGGCAGAAGAAGTGATGGAGAACCCAAAGAGGGGGTTTTGGTACCAAGGCATGTGGCTCTGTAAGGAGATCCAGGTTGATTCTTCCATTGTGTTATTGGGTGGTTAAAATGGGTCCAGGCGTGTGTTCCACCTCCTGATTGAGGCTGTTTGGTTTATTTATCAAAATGCTGCCTCTGTCCATGAAACTTGGGGAAATTAATTTGGTTTTTTTGAGAGGGTGTTTTATAATTCTGGAGAGGACAAGAGACAGTGTATAAAGCGAGTTGCATACCCCAGGTACATGGTGTTGGTACCACTTTGCAGAGAGTACAATGCATGGCAAAGTTTAGATTCTTTTAAAGCTCTGGGAAAGGTTTATATACTTTTAGAGCTCTGGGAAAGGCCAGGTATGGATAGCTAGGCCTGAATGTGACTTGTTGCTAGCCTGTGTTAGACACTGGTGTGCACTTATCTATAGAGCTATCTGTAGGTATTTATGGAGAGATCTCTTTTTTCATGGATGCCTTTTATAAATACCTTGTGACTCTTTTCCTCTCCATCTCCCAAGGGCTCAAGAATGACCAAGGAAGTTGCTGACATGGGTTGAAAGCACTGTTTTTTCCTCTCTTGCTGACTTAAATGCCCCCAATAATCAGTCTCTGGCTGTTATTCTTTTATCACTGTTCTTGTGGTGGTTGTGGTAGAATTTCAGGTCGTGTTGTCCAGGGAGAGCACCTTGGATGATAGTGCTGGTGATGTCAGACTCCAGCATGACTTGGGCTTTGTTTTACTGGTCAGTTTTTTAAAACAACCACGTTAAGTTGCTGAATAAAGATGAACTGTCCATGCTCACTCCAGAATCCCAGGTTAGAGTAAGGAATTGGGCTTGATCTTTTTTGTGCCCTGCTCCATTCCTGTTTTTTCCCTGTGGGTCCTCTCTGTCTTATCCCACGTGGAAGCTCTTTCTCCGTGGCTGACACTGGTGGGACACACAGAATTCTCAGTGTACCATTGTACAGAGTCTCTTTCTGCAGCACCCCCGTGCTCTTGGAGCCTTTCCCTGCTCTGCTGAGAGCAGTCTGTGTGCTCTGTGGAGTGTTGATGCTGAGCAGGACAAAGCAAATGCACTTCCCTCATAGCTGGATTTAATTTCTTGCTTTTATACGATTGTGCAGTAGCTCTTGTTGTGGAAAAATTACTTCTGTGCATGTGACTGATACTTTCTGCTATTCCTGAAAAAAAATCCTGTTGAAACCCCTTTTAAATAAAACCTACAGCAAACTACAATGTTTCTGCATTAGACCTTTTGGAAATCATTCCCATACACTGGTACAGTTTTTATTATCCCATTCTAAATAAGTGAAACTGTGTCTATAAAACAGCCATGGCTGGCTCAGATGCAGCATAAGCAAAGAAAGATGTGTGAAGAAATAAAGCCAACTTTTAAATATTTTTTGGTTTTTTGTTTTTTGGGTTTTTTGACTTCAGAATGATGGAATTAAATATGGTGCTGACTTGAACTGGCACTGAAATTAAGTTATATTTTCATTTCAGTTATTTATTTGTATTGAGCTAATGTTTCATCACCTGCATAATTGCAGAGGAATGTGGCACAGACTGGCAAAATTCCATGTTGCAGTTTCTGAGCCTGTCATGGAGTCTCCATCTCCTCATCCCAGTCTGCTGAAGCACAAAGGGACTCTAAACTTTGGTTTATTTTGAGAGTTTATGCTCTGAATTCTGCTGTTGATTCCCTTGATAATTCCATTTGTGCCTGTGAAAGCTGAATTATTATTTTTGAAAATATTTATACTGTGTGTCTATAAAACAGACCCTCCAGAAGGACTTCCCAAGTGCTTTGATGGGTTAGATATTCAGGGAGATAGTGGTGCCATCTCTGCCACTGTTTTTTCAGAAGTCTTGAGAAAAATAATTTCTTTCTATCTGTTGCTCCCAGATCCAAAAAGGGTGTTGTAATTCTGACCTCCTTTGAGGTTTGTGAATGAAATGCTCTGGGAATGTTGGGTATGTGGATCCTGGATCTTTTAAATCCCTTTTTGCTCCTTATAAATCCCTTTCCTGTGCTTTCACACATGCTTCCTTTAAAAAGGTAATGCAAATTAAATTGTATTGCCTGTGCCAGAGCTCTTGGTCAAAATTAATTCTGTTTTATTTTACTGAATAACTTGCATAGTGTAGTAAAGACCACGTGGATATTGGTTACCCTGGGAAGATTTCACAGAAACTTCAAGAAATCATTGGATCCATCTGTCTGTTCCAGATTGGATCTGTCTTCACCTGTCATTCAAGGCAGAGCTTTGAAGATTTTTATTTTTCAAAGAGTAACGTAGCAATGCAGGAATTTTCAGAGCCTCTCTGGGCAGCCTGGCTGGGTGTGAACTGTTTTCTGTAGTGCGTGTCTTCCCCTTTGTTTTGTTGTTGTCATTGTCACTGTGCCTATTATCTGCCTGTCTGTACAAAGGGAAAAGGTGTTTCACTGACAAAAAGCAACAATTTCTTTTGCAGCATGAACTTCTTTTGAACAATTTTGCAGCATGAATTTCAGGAACTCCTTTTGCAGCACATCCTCTGCTGGGGCAGGGAAGGCTCCCAGCCTGAGGCACCAGCTTCTGACATAGTCTCTGACAAAGGATTTCTCTGGCTGATCTGTTCTTTTTCTCTTTTTCTTCCTTTGGCATATTCCTCCCCTATTTCTCAGTTGCATCATGCTTTGACAACTTCTGTGTTCTGTAATTAGCACTGGAAACTCTTCAGTAGCCTGACAGGCACAGAAAGCAGCTGCCTGCTGAAGCAAACGAGACTTTCCCATCCTTTGTGAACACTCACATTCATGGCCTGCAGGTGCCTCCCCTGGCTGCAGGGACTGTCCTGGCTGCAGAACAAACCCCCCTAGAGAAAGAGGCCCCTCCAGTTGTGTTCAGTGGGCTTTGTAGCCTCATATTTGGCTGGTTTATGTCATGTACTGTGCTACCTCTGTGGCTCCTATCAGCATGAAGCTGGCCCTGGTGAATAAAGCCTCCTCCTTGGCTATATTTAACATTTAGCTATTTGTTTTGTAACTGAAATCCTTGCTATGCAAATTGGAGCAGGTCAGTCTGCAACCTTGCATAAGTGCCTTTTTTTTCCTTTTTCCCCTCTGGACTTTTGTTTCCCAGCTGGTAAGTTTGGCATGTTCAGCTGATGACCCATCCACCAGCCATCCCCAATGGAGATTTAATGGTGGACAGTGTGGCACAGAAATGCAGGCTTGTGTGGAAATGCTGCTGGGACAGAGGATGCCTGCTGGAGGAAGGATGTTTTGCCTTTCACTCTTTTATCTGTCTGTTTATGTGGGCTTTTACTGGGGCCTCTGGAGTAGCTTTTTGAACTTGCTGAGTCTCATTCATAGGAAAACTTTGTTTATATGTGTACATATATTTATGTATATTTCTAGTAAACTCTACTGGCAATATCAATGCCTCTT